CTGCAAAGACCTACCCATACAGCATGAATAGTGGGGGTATCTAGATAATTCACCTCATTTTTTTAAACTAAATATTGTTGCAGGTTGGTTGGGTGCATCAAATAATCTTCCACTCAGTAAGCCCACTCAGTAAACCCGGTGTCGTCTAAACGGCGTGGCATCTGGAATGAACTTGGCGAAAATTGAAGACGCAGGGGACCGCACAACAAGAAGCAAGTGGAATATCCGGGTAGGTTCGAAAGATGTCGTAGAAAGGATTTTCGTGGCTTCAAACTGTGGGTACTTGAGAGACTCAACTTTCAATTTCAGTCACCAAAGCAACCTAAGAATAGAATTCGCATCGAAAATAATTTGGAAAATTCGGGTTTATCAAATGAAAAGGGACCAGTTTCTGATTCATCCTCGATTCTCCATGCTCCTGATGGTGTGTTGGCTTCTAATTTACCATTATTCACTTCTCTTCTTATTTTGGCGCCCGTGTGATTAACTGTCTTAAAATTTGCAACATGTTTTTTCATGATATTTGTTCCCACAGGTATGGTCACTTCCATGGAGTATCCTTCTTTGCTGCAGACAGGTTTGTCTGCTACTCCCATGGATGTTAGCGGGAAACCCTCACTTTGCATTTCTGTCATAGGAGCCACCGGTGAGCTGGCAAAGAGTAAGATTTTCCCTGCTTTATTTGCCCTCTACTACAGTGGCTTTCTTCCTGAGGTACAACATCTTTTATTGCCTCCTTTGTAATTTTTAAGATTGTTGTTTCAGCTGTCCATAACCATGACGCACCTGATAGTGAGTGGGCTAAACTGTAATCACCAGTACTGTAACACGGTCTTAGATTCTAGGCCTAACTTGCATTTATAAAACTTTATTTACTCTTGGCTTATCATACACACAATTATTTCCGTTCAATCTGAGGATACTTGAATTTTTTTTTTCTTTCCACGACAGAAGGAATTAACCTCGTTTTTTGTTCTATGAAAATTGATAGCCATGTTAATAAAACAATATATATTGGAAAAATTTTGGTTATGAAATTTTATCCACTTTTTTTTTCAACCACAATCATGATACGAGAAATTGGACATAGTTCAAAACTACTAATTTCTGAGGTGAATATAACCACTTATTTCCCAATTGTAAAGACTATTAAATTCAAATGCGCGATCTGCAGAATGTAGGCATTTTGGGATTCGGGCACACAGGGGAATTTTTGCCAGAACTGCGCGGGGGGCCAGGGGTTATTGGGGGAGGTGGGAAGACGGAGGGGGGCGGACGGAATCCTAAACTGTCTAGAACGCGCACCTAGCTTTTATAGGGAGATGAATCGACTAGAGAGGATGGAGGGAAAAAGTGACGCATAAAATAGTAAAGCACGCGGCATATGAAAGAAAGAAAAGCACCGAGTGAAACAGGACTCGAATGTTATAGCGTTCAAGCACAACTCTAACATTAAGCCCGCGAGTTGATCATCAGTATGATGACGAATATTACCTATTGGCTATCACCACTAACATAGTTATTAGATTGTTGTCATGTATTTCGATTCATGAGAGCAGGAAAATCCTTGAGGCAGAAGCACTCGAAGGCAGTAACTATTAGGAGACCGAAGCAACGGTGCCAAAGGTACAATGGAAAAAGCTTTGGACGAAAAAAAATGCTTGCCGACGAGACGTCACAAACCGAAGCGAAATGCACCCTTACGAAATACAACTTTGGAATCCCAAACTTAATATAGACGAAAAATCGCCTGGAAGTGCTACTTTTACAGTAAAACCATTATTGAGTTAAGGAGATCATAATTCCATATATGTAATTACATGGTTAATTTCCCTTGAAAGCCTTTAAAAGTTATACGTCTCTTCTCGCTTGAGCGTTGGAGAATAAAAGAAACTTAGTTGTCTAGTGGCATTTATCTCCCAGTCCTATGTATTCTATCGGTATTCTAGCTTGTTTGTTGACTAATGTGAAATTGCAAAATAGAGAGGAATTGTGGGGGACAAATTAGATTGCTTTCCCCCCTTCGTGTTAGAACATATCATATTAAATGGTGGCGAGTGCAATAAATATGGATGTCCATGCTGAATGCCCGCATGGAGCAAATTGAAAAAACAGGGGTAACTTTGGATAAATTTCACCGGGATATAAGAGAGTTCTTTTTTGTCTGAAATGAGTTCCTGTAAACTCTTTCACAAATTGTATATCCTTTGGTATCTGATTGTGTTACAGCTTATTGTCTACCTCAGGGAGGATCCAAAACCAACAGGATATTCTACCTTTCTGTGCCACAAGAAGCAGTTTTAGATGTTACGGCTTGTCTTTCTAGCAGTGCTCAGACTCAAAAGGGATGGAATCGCATAATATTTGAGAAGCCATTTGGCTTTGATGCACTTTCTTCCTATAGGATGACACAATATCTTCTTTCAAACTTTGAGGAAAAGCAAATATATAGGTATTTGTTGTTTCCCTCTCTCCTCACCTATCAGCTCATGCACGCAACAGACTAAAGTACTGTTACATAAATTAATGATTCATGTTACTCTGTTTCTAGGATTGATCATCTTCTAGGAAGGAATCTCATTGAAAATCTCACAGTTTTAAGGTTTTCAAATCTAGTTTTTGAGCCACTTTGGAGTCGTACTTACATAGACAATGTACAGGTCAGTGTCCCTCATTTAATCTGATTTAGCATGCCTTGATTTCTGCATTTTCTGTGTAAATTAAAATGCCTTTTATTTAATTTAATGGTTGTAATCAAATTGGTTTTTTAAATCACTGTAGGTCATTTTATCAGAGGACCTGACCAAGCATCTAGGAAGGTGATCTTAGTGACCATGGTGTCATTTGGGTGAATATAATGCGATGCATCATTCTTTATTGAATATGCATGAACAACTTTTTCCTCCACCAGTAGATGTTTATTATATAATTCTACTTGGTCCTCTATTACCTATGCAGATATTTCAGTGGCTATGGGATTATCCGTGATATTGTTCATAGTCACATTCTCCAGACAATTGCATTGCTTGCAATGGAACCACCAGTAAGCCTTGATGGAGAAGATATTCGAAATGAAAAGGTATTCCACAGATTACGGATTATAAGCTCCATAACACACCTTATGTTTACGTTCTGCAAGGCCAAGTCAATTAAGAAATAAATAGTACCCAAAATATCGTGTTAAGAAGATTAATGTCATCATCTATTGGCATCAATACGAAAATTTGATTGCAATTCTTATTTTAAAAAGAGTATGAACAATTCACTCTCAAAATATTCACTCAAACTTGGATTCTTATTATAAGTTGAATTTTATTGCGACTCAAACTATTGTGTGAGGCTCATAAAAATAGGGTATGAGGTTCATACGATTTGCGGTTAAAATCAATCAATAATTTAGGTTGCATTAAGAGGTATGTTAACATACTTCTCTTGTTTGTTTAATTAAGTAAATTAGAAAATATATTTTCTTGACTTTTATAATAACTACTAACAATCATATAGACGATTTTTTAATTAGCTGATACTTACATAAACATATTTACACTGACAGAGCATATGTATGAAAATTCTAAATGAAATGAGAAGGAATTGATTTCAATGTTTTCATGCTTGGATAAACTGTAGTTAGATTTCTTTCAAACTCAATTTAAAGGATGGTTGAACTACAAGTTGTAAGTTACTACCCAATCTTTGTCAATTTTTGATTGTTGATTTCCTTAGATTGGTCATAATTTAAGAAGGCTATAGAATAGGTAAAGATATGATTCGAAATGATTACAGCTTCTGGTAGACATGATGATTGATGCATTGTCATACAATTTCCAATTGTAAGGGTGATCATCCAATTACTTCATATAGGGCATGTTCAAAAAAGCATTAAAAATAGAACTGATCATTCAATAAGAGAAGAAGCTTGAATTCAATCCAAACCTAAATTACATCTAATTCATAACTAAGATCCATTTTGATCCTAGGTTGAGAAATTCAACTAAACATGATGAAAGAAAAACTGAAGGAAACTAAGTGAAGTCCATTTGCTAAAATTGAAGGCCTGTCTTTCTTCTAATAGTAAGAACTTTTGTGGGAACTATGGGAAATGGGAGTTTGTTAAGACAGTTAGGACAGTAATTAGTGAGTTAGGGTGTTAATGAGTTAAATAAATATCAGGATGTGAGGACAAAGGATTCATTCTATCTTGTATTAGTTGTAAATTGAAGATTAGAAATTTGAAACATGCAGGCACCTAAGATGACCATTTTTCTCAGGTGTGCACCAGCACTCAGGTGCAAGACACGTCTGACTATCAAGTATTCTGTGAGTACTGGGTATTTTCCCACTGTGCACGGGCAAAGTAGTGAGTCTAAAACAATATTCTAACAAAAATGTACGAATACTTTATTAATATTTGTTAAGGAGTAAGGACAACTTTTTGTCTAGCTATTATTGTTGTTTGTTACAAATGACAACTTGAAAGATGCATTATTTCCTCATTATCGCTTAGGTGTTTTGGTAACAACCTTCTTTTTCAGGTTAAGGTTTTGAGGTCAATTCGAAAATTGGAGCCTAAGGATGTCATTCTTGGGCAATATAGAGCAAGTGGTGGAGCCAAAGTTGATACATGCTTAAATGGTCTGACACCTACTTATTTTGCTGCTGCACTATACATTGACAATGCACGATGGGATGGTGTGCCATTTTTTATTAAAACAGGCTTGGGACTCATCAAACACCAGTAAAATCATCATCTTCTGCGTCAATTTTCTTTAGATATATACTTTTTATGCACGAAAATTACATATTTAGTTCCTTGACATGAATATCCTTCTTCCAGTCATTTCTCGTCATTCCAATTTATAAAAAGAAAAAAAAATCTCCTTATTCCCGAGTTTGGATTTTAGCTTGTTAGAGAATATTGATCTTGCAACAACTATGAAATTTCCAATTCTGAAAAGGAATAATAAAGTGAAAAAGGGAAGTTCAAGATCAGTCTGAGAAAGACTGATGGATAGTACATGATCACTTCTTCCCCAGGCCCATGTCTTAAACTTGTACTCAAAGGAAATATTGAAGATCTAAGAGTTGCTTATGATTATGTTTGAAGTTAACCAATCCTTTAAATGTATAATTTATAAGCTTATGTAGAATAGGTCTGAAAATTATTTCCCGAAACGTATTACTTTGTGACCCATGTTAGAAAATATGCTAATGCAGAATGGAGATACGGATACAATTTCGAAATGTTCCAGGTAATGTGTACCGTGAGTGCATGGGGCATAACATGGACCGTGCTGTGAATGAGCTCATTCTCCGTGATGTTCCTGATGAAGCTATTTTGGTGAGAGTTAACAACAAGGTTCCAGGACTAGGCTTGCAACTGGACTCTTCAGAACTAAATTTGCTTTACAAGGACAAGTAAGCACTTAAATGTTGGACTATTTGTGTGCGTCAAACTTCGACAAAGTGATGCGAGTTGCTAACCTTTCCTTCATGTTACATTGATTATTAATGTTAAAGGTACAACATGGAGGTTCCAGATTCGTATGAGCAACTTCTTCTTGATGTCATTGATGGGGACAACCATTTGTTCATGAGAAGTGATGAACTGGAAGCAGCATGGAACATTCTAACTCCAATTCTGAATGAGATAGACAAAGAAAACATATCGGTGGAGCTTTATGAGATGGGGGGTCGAGGTCCTGTTGGGGCATACTACCTTTGGGCAAAACATGGGGTCCGTTGGGTAGAGGATTAATAACAAATTCCCATTATTTTGTTTAGATTTAATTAATCTTTTTCATACTTAAAAACTCTGTTTTATGTCTCTCTACACACAAAATTTTAATGTTTTAGTCACTTATGTTGGCTTTTTGACAGTGTAAAACTGTCGCAAAATGAAAACATGATAGACGAAAACACAAGACTTGGGACTGAGTCGAAATTTTTTATATGGACCAAAATGTTTGTTAATATTTTTTAGTCTTATAACAGGTACTTGTATTTTGTTACCTACCCCACAAGGACGATCTAGACCGTGTTAAGGATTTTGAAATAAACTTCAACTGTTGAACATTTTCTTGTTGACAATTCCACATGTTCTTGAAAGAGAAAAATTAAATGAGTCCAAGAAAAACAATGAGATGGAAAGCAAAGCAAGGAGAACAAGTGAGCAACAAACATATATGTTTATATATATTCAGCATTGAACCGCTTTTACTGATTAATTTTTGAAGTAAAACAAAATATTTCATCTTTTGGTGAAGTTCAAAGTTGATTATCCACTATATTTATGATCTTTGTTTGAATTATTGTTTTTTCTAACCATTAAAGCACTTTCTTTTCTGTCAAGATTTTCTGGTTTTATTAGAAAAGTAATGGGGTAATGAGAATTCTTAACAACTTGGTTGGATGGTTATTCATTCTAAAGCCCTAAATGGTCATGCATAAATCAAATCTTGATTTTACTTTTATAACAATATAGTTAATTTTGTTAATAATTCCGTCGAAATCAACCATATTATATTAGCCTTCAATCACGGCAAAAGATTTTAATATAATGAAAATTGTGTTTATTGGTTGTTCCTTAGAGGTGGGAGAAAGAAAAACAAAAAATATGATAAATAAAAATAAAAAAGTGGTTGGAATTAAAATAGAGAAGTAAAAGTAAAATGTGGGAAGGAGAATGATGGTTAAGTGAGGGAAAAAAAGAGTTATTTTTTAATTTTAAAAGACCAAGAAAAGGTAGAGACCTACCAAATCGTGCAGACAACGACGATAACCATAACGAGCTGCTGCGACAAAACGGCTGAAGATGCCAGGAAGGACAAAATTCAGACGCCAGAAAAAAGAAATCAATCCGCCCATAGCTCATACTTGATTAATAAAGACCTGTAGGCACGCAATCCGTTACCAACATTGCTGTCCTGCCACTAAATTCACCGGGAAGACCTTTAAACGAATCGCAAAGAGATAAGTTCTGCGTGATCTTGACGCACCCGATCTGAAGATATTTACGGTCTACATAATGACACATTTGTGCGGGAGGCTGCGGTGGGACACCGGAGTCAAAGCTCATTAGTGGTTCGGGGGCTGAGGCATTTCCTGACATTAGTTGGAAAATAATCGAAAAAGTAGTGAGGTGTGCATAAATATAATAAGAGGTGGCAAAAAACAGGTAAAGGGAGCCTAAATTATTAAAAAATCATATCTTTCATTAAAAGTAACAGAATGTAAAAAAACAAGACACACCCTAATTAATTAAAAAACGGTAGGGAGCACATCCGTCAAAGAACGGATGGTTGAACTACATAACGTTGAAGGATGTGTTGAACATCCGTTGGAAGGATGTTGACATCGTTTGAAAAGGATGTTGAACAATCCAGCTTGAAGAGATGTTGACATCCCGTTGAAGGATTTTGACATCCGTTGAAGGAGTTACGCTGTACCGCGTTACAGAGTTACGTTTTTATTTAAGGGTTTTATGGTGAAGGTTATTCGAAAGTTACGCACCTTGAGGACAGTAACAACGCACTGCACCACTCCACACATTGCAAACGAGGAAGCGCCACTGCCACCACGAGGAGGGAGACTGCTTGATAATCTTTCCACCAAGTCCATTCAACCTTTAGCAAATTGTAGTATCTCACACAGACAAAAGAAAAGAAAGAGAGGAAAGGAAATATAATGTTAAAATAAAAGAAAATTTTTTAATTTTACTCATCTCGAGAGGAACTGGAATAAGGTTATATTAGTGAAGGAATCAGGTTGTGAATGGGGGTAAAATTAAAAAATAACCACTAACAAAAAACATTTTTACTTAGGGGCCAAAATAGTAAAGGGAGGTGGAGCGGAGGAGAAAGGTGTGGTGGTGGAGGGAGCAACACCCTTTTCCTTATACATATTGATCATTGTTATCTCATTGGGTCATTTAGGAACGTGGCTCATTTAACATTTAGAAAGAAGAAGGTTACTCCCTACACCATCCCACTTTGCTCCCTGCACCACCACATTTTTTTTAAATTCCAAAACTATCCTTTATATTTTAAAAAATCAATAAACCCTACCCTTTTCCTCAATGAATGTAACACGGTGAAGAAAAAATATCGTCAAACGGATGTCCCACATTCGTTGAGTTCTGGGTGGGGTTGAAGTAGTGTTTTATTAATTTGAGTTTGGAGGGGTAAATTAATATGAAAAGGTTATTTAATTTTTTAAAATCATGATTTAATGATGGTTATTTTAGTTTAAGAAAATTTAAATTATTATTAATTTAATTATGTATTAGTATTTTTAAATAAGTAATTAAATATTTGTATAAATATATTAACGGAGTGCCACATGCGGATTTCCGTGAATTTTTTTTTGGTTTTTGATGGTGGAGTGTGTTGGTATTTGATTATTGGAAATGAATATAGGAAATAGTAGGTTAAGGAGGGTGATAAAGGATTACGGAGTATTATATAGATAAAATTTCTATGTTGATCGGAATAACGAATATTATTAGTATTTCACATAGTAGTTTTAGGTGGTATTATTTAAATAATAATTAACATATTTTATAGAGTTAGATAGAACAAACTGGATGTGCCAATCGAGGTCGACAGTCTAGTGAATTTTTGGTTTTTCTTTTGTTTTTTGTTTGAGTTTTTGTAGGTTTTTTATTTTAACTTAATATATAATATTATTGAACTATGTTATATTTTAAAATTATTACTTAATTATTTATAAATTAATTTTATTTTATGTAATAAAATAATAATTATTAATTTAATTTATGTATTAATATTTAAATAATAATTAAAATATTTTTTATAAATATATTAAAACGGATGTGCCACATCCGGATGTGGCGATATCCGTTGAATTTTTTTGTTCTTTTTAGTTTTTAGTTTTTTTATTTTTTTATTTTAAATTAATATATAAATATTATTTAATTATTTTAAAATTATTACTTAATTATTTATAAATTAATTTTATTTTATTTAATAAAATAATTATTATTAATTTTAAATTATTATTTAAATAATTAACGGATGTGGCCACATCCGTTGAATTAGTTTCTTTTTTAGTTTTTAGTTTTTTAATTTTTTATATTTTAAATTAATATATAAATATTATTTAATTTTTTTTAAAATTATTAATTAATTATTTATAAATTAATTTTATTTTATTTAATAAAATAATTATTATTAATTTAATTTATATATTATTATTTAAATAATAAATAAAATACTTTTAAAAATCTATTAAACGGATGTGGCCTCGTCCGTTGAATTTTTTTTTAAATAAAAGTCATAAACTAAAATATAAAATATGTAAACGGATGTCAATATCCGTAAGGTGAAATTGATGCGTTTATAGAAAGACAAATTAGGTATGAGATAATGGAGGGAGCTATTGATGGTGGTGGAGGGAGCTAACTCTAGAAAAAAATATAAATATAGAATTTAAACATTAAGAGAGTTTCATCTCAAAATGGCAGAGGACAGCACATGGATGATTCTTGCTTCCATTCCATGGAACCATAATGAGTATGGGCTGCATGCATCCACCATGCTTACATGTTTCGTCTTCGTCTTAATGATGAATATATTATATAGTATATAATATATTTTTAACATTTTTTTTATCGACTGAAGTTTATTCAAAGTTATAAATTTCGTTTCACTTTTTTTTTTTAAGTTTTCAATAAAACAATAGTAAAATATATTAAAAATTAATTACTGACACAAGTCTTAAACTATTGAGTCAAGTCGTCTTAGAATAAGCCTATCGTATATAGTTGTGATTTGTTTCCTTAAAAAAAATGTATGGGCAATAAGTTCAATTTGCTCCCACGCAGAATTGAAATTGGTCCACTCAACAAAAAAAGAAAACAATAAGGAAGATTTGTTCTTTGCTTTTCCCCATATAGAATTCACAAATTAATAAAATCCAAGTTGCAAACATGACTAAATAAAGCATCTGATAGGAACTAGTGTAGTAAGGCCGTTCATTAAAAAATTTATAATTAAAATGTTTTTATCCTCGAAACTGTTATTTTATTTTGTTAAAAAGTAATTTTCCTTAATAAACAACTTTTTTTACTTAGTGCCCTCAATTAACTGCTAACATTTTCCTTAAATAAACAGGACAAAAGGTAAACATTTAAAAAAAAAAGCACTACGTAATAAAACTTCAATCTTTACTTGTCCTTTATATTATAAAAATATCAAATTATAGTTTTTTATGGTCAAACTTTTGTTTCGTTTAGAAATAATACCAAAAATACTCAAGACATTACATCTAAAATTGTTCAAATAAATGTCATTTTTAACGTGCGCATGAAATGTTAAATTATGAAAAATAATTTCAAATCTTGTTGTAAGAAGATACTCATAAAGTTAAATAAAGAAATCATTACATGCTGTAACACTGTTTATGTTTCTTAACATATCTTTTCATGTAATTGTTTTTTATTAAACATGATTACAAAGATTAAGTAGTTGGACTTACTCTATTAAGAACCTGATTTCAAACCTCATTATAAACAATAATACATCGTTGGGTCCAGACACGCATCATTAATTCATATAAGTTTTCCATATGATATGTTTTTTATGGGGTCCATATCCATTTTCATATGTTCACCAACCTAAAGTATATATTCTTCAGGGAATATTTCTCTCTCTAATAAAACAAAATTATTAACTTTTTTTATCACATTTCTTTTTTCAATTTAGATTATTGATTTAATACGTGATTTCTCACTAATCC